TTATATGTTTTAAATATCTTCATTTATTATTCTATCAATCTTTTTATTTATTTTTTTCTCTAAAGAGTTTACAAATATAACAGACTCACAGACGTTGATGACCCCAGGATTTTACGCCTTAAAGCCCAAACAAAGTTTTCACCCAAATGATACTGGAAAGACTTAATATTATAATAATAATACTTTATTTATTCTGGGAGGAGTCCCTTTAGAATAATACAGGAAGACAGAAATGTGGGCTAAGGAGCCTCAGAGATACATAAATAAAAATAAAGAGTAATTGAACAGTCTTGGTGGGAAAAAAATATATGTATATATAAACACATATACACATAAGTTGCTTTCCAATTTTGATCAGTCGATAATAAAAAAAATTGGAGTAAAAATAATGAAGAACGAACTAATAATTTATGTACATATTTACAGTTGTATCTTTTTATATGTATATAATATATGGGCAAATGATATGAAGACAATTCCAGAATGACAGTCAGGATTCCGCACTGGTAGGGGATGTATCGGTAACATTTTTGTGGTGACTTCTCTTGTTAAAATAATGCACTCAGCCTCAAAACATTTATATGCAGCTGTTGTGGATTTTTGGAGAGCTTTTGATTCTGTCAACCATAAGCTATTGTGGCAAAAACTTTTTGATGTAGGACTAAGTTGTAAGTACATGAGGATACTGCAGTCACTTTATGTAGTCAGGCCTCTGTGATTACTGAACAAAAAACTGAAAATATTGCTCATGTAAGTGCAGGCGTTCTACAAGGAGAAATTCTCAGTCCCATCTTGTTCAGTTTTTTTTCATAGCTAACGTCGAATCTTTTTTTTTGCTGAAGGGGTAGGAAAGGGATTAAAATTGATGGTCATGTGGATATTATAGTGCTTCTATATACAGACGATTTAATATTTTTTCTGATTCACACCATGACAAGCAGGAAAAGCTGACGGTACTACATGTATATTGTATTGTAAATAAACTTGAAATTAATGCCATCAAAACCAAGGTAATAAACTTTCAGCAAGGAAGACCAAAAAACTAAAATAGAAAAAAAGAAAGTTTTTTATAAAACAATTAAGGAGATAGTATAATGCAGAGATAATAAACATTAAATAATAATGGAGTATTACTGACGTGAAACGTGTGATTAAAAAAACGAAAAATGAATTAAGTTGTCAACGATAAGTGAAAAGAAATTAAAAACAAAAATAAATGAATAGAGTACGGAGAGTGGATATGGTGTTGTGAGATTCCCTATGATGAGAAAAGAGAGAGAATTGTTTAATTGAAATAATAAGAGAAAAGGACAGGCTTTCGCGGAAGAGTTTATTAAAATACCTACAAATCACTAGAATGGCATTATTTTTGCAGATTAGCAAATTTAATATATCTGGATCGGATGACGGATCAATTATGTGGAGAAAACCTAGGACATAATTTAAAATAAAAAATTTCGCTGCTCCAGTAAAAGGTTGGGGCAGGAAAGGTCTAGTATGGGGCTGTATGTCTGCGTATGGTGTAGGAAATTTAGTTTTTATTAAAAGAATAACGGATAAATTTAAATGTATAAAAGAAAATTTAAGTGCTAGTACTGCAAAAATAGATATTAATGTAAGAATAGACGAAAATACCATCCTAATTAACTTTAAATTTGGTAGAATCAATTCCAAAACAGCTTAAAATGGTATCAAAAATTAAAGAGTTACATTCAAAATATTAATTTAAAAAGTTTTTTGTTTGTTACAAAATTTTTTGCTGCTTTAAAATAGTAATTTTTTGTTTATAATGTATTAAAAATATATGTAATTTGTTGTTTAGCCAAATTTGTTGTGTTAACCAAAGAAACATCTATTTATATTATACTAATATGTTGAAATAAATTGTTGGATAGAATGGTTTTCATACAATTTTCTGAATTTTATATAAATTCCAAAGCACCAATAGCTGACCAATGTGTACCAATACAACATCCTCCTCTAAAGATGGGAATAATAAAATTTCAAGACCTCCTAGACCTCTATTTCACTTACGGATACAGGATTTAATTTTGGAAGGGCTTCAGCTGGAAAACTTTTTTTAAATAAATATAATCATAATTATTTTGGAAAAAAAGAAATAAACTATATGAAATGGTGTATTGGTGATTTTTTAAGTCCTATTAAATGTAATTACATGAGTAATAATACTTTAAGAGGTAATTTTTTAATATTTTATCGTAAGACATGGTTATATTTTACCATTTGGGGGAGATCCAACCAGAAAGCTCTCTCTCTCTCCTCACTCCCTCCCCGTAGATCATCCTATACTCTATTTTATATATTGTTTTTTTTTTTTATATTTTCTCCTTGTATATTTGTTTACTTTGCTTTAGTCTTGCAGGAAATCGCAACCAAAACAATGAGTGGTAAATTAGGGAAGTCTCTCAGGGGCCATTTAGTTTCCCAGGAAAAAACATGTCAGTAAGAGCACCATACCTTAGTTTTGCCATTTTCTCTTTAAATATTCTGATTTACCCCAAAATGTTTGTTTTTTGGAGTGTTTTTAAATTATGTTTAATCTGTTTTTAACTTATCATGATAAAAGAATTGGATATTTAATGGGTGTCAGCTACTGAAGCCTTATAATGGAAACTTGTGCCAGTTGTTGACAGGGCTGTAACCTCATAAATTCAAAAAGATATACTCAATATAATGAATCTTAAAATGGGACCATTCACTAGTTTCGTAAAAAAAAAAAAAAAAAAAAAAAAAATTTAATGATTTGGACTAAATTTATATAACAAAAACAGGTTCTATTTCCAAAAACAGGTTCTTTGCATTTATTGATAAATTTAAGTCGGGACACGTAAGAAGTTAATTTTATAAGTTAAAGGTAATTTTTGTTAATCTTAAAATGAATATGAAATTATCCTTAATTACATCCTTGTTCTCATATCTGTCAGCTATAGTGGCATTTCAAATTTAACACTGTTAGCTACTGGTACAACAAAACTATTCTCTTAATTTTCAATTTTTAATTCAATTTCAATATTAATTTCCTTTCATTGTCATTATTTATTTCATCACAATTAGTATAATACATTGCACTACTAAATATATAATATATTATACTTTACCAATATATATAATGTTGTATTTCTTATTGTATATCAATGGCAGAATTTCCTGTGTATAATAATTATAGTTTTAAAATTAACTTCAGTATTATTCATGGTTTGCTTTCGATATCTTTTACTCTCTTTATACTAATTTCATTTACTACTTGTCATTTATTATCCTTTATAATAAATCTGGACCTTGTATCTGTTATCTTGTACTAATTTAACATCCTAGGTAGGTTGAAATGTTGAGCACTCAATAAACATTACTGCCACATGCTCCTGCTGTTAATGCAAAACGTCGTCTGTAACAATATTCTAGGTTAATTCCATTTATGCTATTTAACAGTGATATTTTGTAGTCTGCAGCTGCAATAAATATTCTGTTACTATCCAAAATAATATAGGGAAATAAAATATGAAATTATGCATTTATTTTTTACAAATGACTTTTTACATTAACAGTAGCGATATATATTATATGGGTGACTACCATCCCGAAGAATTTCTCCTTTCATTCCAATATTTCACTTTCTTTTGGACCAGTTCCTAAATTTTATATATATATATTTTTTTTCAGCAGAGTGCAATAAATCAGTATAAAAGAAATTCAGTACCAAGTAGGAACTAATAATTTCCTTCCTTAATTAATATAAACTGGATCTAGTTCCCTTTTGCAGCACAAAGATGGCAGCCGGTTTCAAAATCATCCAGAGCACAGTATTTCCAGATTCTTGATGAATGTTGCCAAGTATTGATAATCTTGTTAGCAACCGAAAATAACTATTTCAATATTTTAACAATTACCAACAAGTATAATTGAGTAAAAAAATTTCCTATTAAATTGAGGGCAATTTATAATCAGGAGTAGGAAATCAGTTGGCTTAATCTGCTTTCAGACATATTCAGGTATTTTTAGGGATCTAAGAGTAGTGTGTTGTAAGTAATCTAATAATTAATTTTTTGTTGCCTCTACCCCATTTTAGACTCCGTTAAATATCTCAACTATTTTCAAGGATTCAAAAAATCTTTTTCTACCAACTTTTCTCAGTTGTTAAATTTTTTTTTGGCTTGTTGCTAGATCCAATTTTGTCTCACAATTTTAAATATAGAGCAGTCTTGAATAATGTGTTTGACTACACTTTAAACATTACAAAGATTGGAATTTTAAGTTTTTTAAGTAAATAGGCAAGTGAGAACTCACAAATCCTAATCCTTTATTGGCATAATAACGTTTCTTATTACTAGGAGAGTCAATAGGATGTTTTCCATTTGGAACAGTGACTTCCTATTTCAATAAATTTAACTTCTTTTTGTTTCCTGCCATCTGTCTGCTAGATTTTCCACATTTTCTTCTTTAAATGTTCTAAGAAATCTTCTACTGAGACTTTATTAATTATTACAACCTAAGTTGTTCCTCGCCATATTGGCTGCTTTATCTGCTTTTTAGTTTCTGGTTATCCCGCAGTGTAAAGGAACCCAGATGGACATTATTTCCTTTCCCTAATCTCGATATCCACCAAAATTCTTAATGCTTTCGCAAGTGTAGTTGATGGTCTTGTGTTTTGGATGGCTAGAATTTCATTCATCAAGTCCGTTACCACGGTCGAATAGTTCATATCAGTTGTCTCTAAAAAAGTAAAGGCTTCTCTTGTTGCTACTGTCACTCCACTAAACACAGAAAAATTCTCCAGAAGTCTAAAAAAAATTTGGATTAGAGAGATTATAACAGTGTATTTTACCTACTTCATGGTTTACATTGGAAGCATATGTATATTCACATTGTTTCTCCAAAAATTTCAAGAAATAAATAAAATAAATTTCAAGAAAAAACAAACCAATTAAAAGTCAACAACAAAATAGTGAAAATCATAGGTCAATTAACTTGGATTCAGAAAGAAAGTAATAACAAAAATATATTAATATAAATAGGTTCAACATAGAAATACTTTTAGATTTCTTTATAAGTATGAGGAAAAGTTAAAACAATATTTTCAGTAAAAAACAATCATTTATGTAACAAATAATATAAAATCAATTAAACTTTGTCAATTTATACACTCCAAATCCAGAACACATAGCCAAAATAAGAATAATACTATAAAAACTTTACATACAGGTACACTTCAGAGATGGCAGTGCAGGAGATCAGGTTGTCTTTACAAAATCGGAGGATGACCGAAAATTTAATAATTATATAAAACAAAGACAATAGTTTATATCTTATAAACACATAATTGTCCACATCACTAATTGTCTTGATTGTCTAATTGAGCATAATACTTTAAAGCCGACATAGAATACACAATGTCACTGTTATTCTTTTCCCTTAATGGTACATTTATCACTTTGGCCTTCTTTTTAACTTCTGTATCACTAGTGTGTTTTTTGGAATCACCTGAATCTTGTGGATCCTTCTTAACTGTAGGCTTTTTCGCTTCTTCCTCAGAAGAAGAATCACTTCCACTAGAATCATAGCTTCCCGATGATGATGATGTTTCTTGCCGACTGGTTTTCTTTAATTCTAACTCACCAGAATTAATGTAATAACCCCCAAACTTAGTGTCCATATTTTCAGGCAATCCTTCTTCATTTGCCTCAGTATTGTCTATAAACGAATCATCATCATCATATCCCGCACCTAATTCTGCATAGCTATGAATATATCTATTATCTGAAAACTTTAATTTTTTACTATCCTTTTCAGATTTACCATCTCTGACATCACCTCTCTCTCTTTTTTCCATTCTAGCTCTTTCCTCATTCAATAACTTATTATAATTCAAGATGACACTGCCCTCACCCTTTTATTTGTGTCTTTTAGAGTTTCTATATGTGAGGGTTTTGGGTTTTTGTTTACTGTGGATGCGGGCTAGGGCAATCGGGGTGTAGCTTTTGGTGGGGGTTTGCGTAGGGCAGGGCGGTCTGTTTTCGGTTTCTGTTTTGGTTTCTTTTGATAGGGTTCTTGGGGTGGGTGTGTAGTGGGGTGAGGGGGGGGGAGGTTACAATGATAGTGTTTGCGGCGGTTTGGTGATGTTTGTTTGGGGTAGGATGTTGTTTGAATTGGACTTTGTATGTTGATGGATTGGTGGTTGGAGTAGTGGTAAGGTGTGTTTGGTTGGTGCAGACTGAGCTGGGGCGTGGGGTGCTGGGGGGTTGATGGTTTCGAGGGGGGTGGTTGGTTTGAATTTAATGGAAAGGGATGTGTGTGATCTGGGTTCGGGCAGGGCAGGGAAGCGAGACGGGCGGGGGAACGCGGGGGGGTGTGTTCTTTAATCTAAAGGACAGATGAAACAATAATACCATTTAATAAGAAAGACGTACGAAAGAGATCGCAAACTAGTTATGGAAATAGTTAACAGGAAATACCTTAAAAAGTGCTCAACGTCAATCAAAGAATTATGCAGGCAGTGGATATTGACAAGTATGTATGGGAATCGTTACTATATACAGAAAAAAATTTAAAAACAAAACTGTATAACTTAACATGAAATATTATTGGTATTTACATCGCTGATAAAGATACTGATATATTAAATACCGTAAAGCTGTTTTTGTTCAGACATTGTTAATACCACAATCATAGGGGCAGAACTTTGGATGGGGGGAGGAGGCGATTGTTCTCCCAATAGAGAAGGGGCTAGAATATCGTTTTGCTCTCCCACTATGTTATCTAAATCAATAACAATTACTCTACACGAATAAATAAAATATTTAAACTAAAATCAATTAAGAAAATAGAAAATGTCGACTAGATGGTAAAGCTAAGCCCTAGAAGTAGGTACGGAAGTATTTTACCACATCCTATGTTCTTATTATTGAAATTTTAGTTAAATTTCAAAAATGATTAGATTTTCAATATATCCTAGGATTTTATGATTCATTCTTGTGCACCCTTCCATTTTTACAATATGAAACATCGGAGATTTGAGTACATCTCAATTCTTCAAACATTTATTTAAAAGTATGTATTAAATTCAATTGCTTTGTTAACAAATTTTCAAATATATACATCTACATAAAAAAAAAATCTAATATAGGTATATATATATATATATATATATATATATGTATATATATATAAGATAAAGACCGGAGACTGGCGATATCAGCCTTAATACCATCTTGTAATGTAAATAAACATAGCAATTGTATATAAGGCAGATTATTGAACGAATAAAGCAGTGTTTATTCAGAAGCCGTGAGTATTGTTTCTCGTTCCTTTTTCCTTCTTTTTTTTTATTTGCAAAGCCCGGCGACGCTTAACTGGTGCCGAAACCCGGGAGAACGTCAGGAGAACACGGAAGTAAAATTTTTCTCTTTCTTTCTTTCTTTTAATTTTTTTTTCTCTTCTCCTAGTCATAAGGAAAAGACGAGATGCCGACAGAGGGCTTAATTCGACCAGGAGTGTTGAACGCACCTGAAATGCCGCAACCTCAGGAAATGCCGATAGCGCAGATTCCTCAGATCGCCCCTCAGGTTCCGCAGATTCCGCAGATACCTCAGATACCTCAAGTACCGCAGATACAAGAGATCCCTCCCTTACCTAGGGACACATTGGCAGAGGCGCACGCCAATGCATTGGAGTGGATGAAGATAAGGGCAGCGACCACGCAGGATCTACGGAGAGCAATCGCAGACCTGGAGCGATTCGGGGGCGAGATAGGTGAACTTAATCACTTCTTGACAAAGGTGGAGACCGCCTCATATCAAGAATCGAAGCAAAGGTGGCGGAGGACCTAGTGAACCTGGGAGACGCGGAGGCACTGAAGGCAGCTCTCGTGTGCCGAGTGAGGAGGAACATCCTCAACCAAATCCAAGCGGACGAGGAGACACCATGGCCAGTGATTAAGGAGCGTTTGAAGAAGGCTTTCGGAGGGGGCCGATGGACGCCGGAAGAAGATATCTTCCAAATGTTTAGGGAGCGTCGGTCCCAACGCCAAACAAGAGGACAATATGCGGGGGTACTAGTGGCAAAGTACAACCGCATAACTGAGAAAATGCGTGAAACCATGAGTGTGGGAGAGGTCGAAGCTAGGATGGAATTCCTTTCGACAATACTCAAGGTTCAGTTGGCTAAGGAGACTGGGAGAAGGGACGGACTGCCTAGAGAGCGATCGTTCCTCGAGTGTGCCCAAGAAATGATAGATCTGAGTGCAAGAGAGGAAGAGACTCGGATGGAAGTAGAGGAACCAGGGTGGACCCGAGTGAGTGACAGACGACCCCGGACAGCCCAGATAGGGTGGAGGAAGAGGGAAATGAAACACCCGAACGGAGAAAAAGCCACGACGGGCGAGAGAAGATCCGGACAGTCCAGGCCTAGGAATGGACCCCGGAGGGAAGACAGAAAATGTCACGGGTGCGGGAAACCGGGACATTTGGTAGCACAATGTCCGCGCACTAGATGTTTCGAGTGCGGGACTGAAGGGCATATTGCCAGACAGTGCCCGTACATGTTTCGCAGGAGAGAGAGACCTCTAGACGAGCCAATGGAGGTGAACGCTCAAAAGTTGAAAAAACGAGCTAGGATGCAGCAGAGAGACGGATCTTCGGAAGAGGCAACCGAGGAGTCGGGGACGTCGGGAACGGAGACTGACGAGCCAGCCAGCAGTGGAGGCGAAGGAGGCAGGAGCAGCCAACGGAGCGAGCAACGACGAGCGACGGCGGTAAGGAGGAAGCGAGGCGACATCTGAGAAGGGTGTCAGCAGAGAGGCGACCGCACAGCAACCTGCAACAATATTAGAGGTAAGCCATGCTGGTTGCCGATTATTGAAGTAGACGGGGGAGTGAAGTGTCTCGTGGACACAGGGAGCTCGAGTACTATCTTGACTCGGGGGGCGTTGGGGAGAGTGTGCGGGAGCGAGAGGGTACTCCGGATACAAAACTGTGGCTGCCAGCTAATCACTCTGGGTGGTCCCTGTAAAGTAGAAGGGGAAGCGTCAATTACGCTTGATCGGTGGGCAGGGAAAAAGGGGGAGCTAAAGGTGCATGTGGTAGAGAGCATGACGCGGGAGTACCAAGTCATAATAGGGTGTGATCTGTTAGGACAGGTAGGGGTAAGCATTAGAAACCGTAGAGGAGCTTGGAGTATCAGGCTGGGAAAGAGGAAATTTGGATGTATAGGGGTCGCGAGAGAAAGAAGGGTGCGGATAGGAGCGGTGAACAGGGTGGAGGACTGGAGAAAGGCGTTACAAGCGGAGTTCGTAGGTATTTTCTTCAGGGAGCGCGAGGTATTGGGGGTAACAGGGAAGACGGTACACGAAGTTCCACTGAAGCAAGATAGAGTAACCTACGTAAAGGAAAGGAGATACCCGCAGGCGCTGAGGCAGCATATTCGGGAGGAATTGGAAAGCCTAAAGGAGCAAGGGATCATAGTCGATAGCACCTCGCCATTTAATAGTCCCCTGTGGGCGGTGAAAAAGAAGGCAGCGCCGGGGGATAATAAGGAAAAATACAGAGTGGTAGTGGACTATCGTAAGTTGAACGACAACACGGTAGACGAAAAGTACCCGATCCCCAGATTCGAAGATATACTCGATAGGTTGAGTGGGGCCGTGGTGTTTAGCACGTTGGACCTCAAGGCGGGATTTCACCAAATACGGATGCACCCGAAGGACCAACATAAGACGGCGTTTACATTCGAAAGGGGGCATTACGAATTCACCAGAATGCCGTTTGGTCTGAAGAATGCGCCCATAACGTTTCAACGCCTGATGGACGAATTTCTGAGGGGTATCGACGACTCCGTATGTCAAGTATACATGGACGACCTGCTGATTTTTAGCAGAACGGAAGCCGAACACGTGGGGCATTTGAGGTCGGTATTCGAAAGGCTGCGACAATTCGGGCTGAAACTGTCAAGCGAGAAGTCCCTGTTGGGACAAACGCGGATCAATTTTTTAGGCCACACTATTTCTAGCGAGGGGGTCAGACCGGATGCGGCAAAGGTGGAGGCTATCACACGAATGGCGGTGCCACGGGACGTTAAAGGGATTCGTAGGCTTCTCGGGACGCTGAATTATTATAGAAGATTCGTACCTGAGATGGCAGAATACTTGGTACCTATCAATAACTTGCTGAAGAAAGGCGCGAGGATCGTGGTGACACCGGAAATGGAAAATAATATTCGGAAATGCATGGATAGGTTGCAGGCAGAACCCGTATTGGCGTTCCCGGATTTTGAGAAGCAGTTCAACATCACCACCGATGCGAGCGAATACGCGTTGGGGGCCGTTTTATCCCAGGGCAGAAGTGAGGGTGAACGTCCGATAGCATACGCGAGCCGACGACTTACGAGCGCGGAATCACGGTACAGCGCGTTAGAGAGGGAGCTACTCGCGATAGTGTGGGCCATCGACCATTTCAGGCCATACATATTTGGGAGGAAGTTTCGAGTCCACACCGATCACAAACCCCTTCAGTGGGTAGGAAAACTTAAGGAAACCTCTGCGAGGGTCACGAGATGGAAAGAATTCCTTAGTCAGTACAACATGGAGGTGGTGTATAAGCCGGGAAAGGAAAACGTGGTGGCAGACTGGCTCTCTAGGGCCATCATGATCAACGCGGTAGAAGAGGACGGGGGAGGTCCATCGCGGGACGTGCGCCAATTCTTGAGGGAATGGACTCCTGAGGGTGAAGGGGCAGATGATACCGTCAGTATAGAGGACAGGGAGGGGTCCCCGGAAGAAGATAGCTCAGCGGAGGAAAGACCAGTGGCGATGGAGGAAATAGACGAAATCATCAACGACAAGCATAGACAGGTAATCTGGAAAACCAGGACAACAGGGATCATGAAAATAGATTACCGAAGATACGGGAAAAGTAGGATTCGCGTCATTTGGTCGCAACCCGGGGTGAGCGAGGAGCAAATCCGTACGGCACTGAAGGACGCCACGGAACCGGGAAAGACACACCATCTCTATGTTGGGAACAACACGGTATGGGAGAAAATAAAGCGGATGTGGAGATCCGAGCGAATAGGCATGGATAGAACGATCATCCGGTGCAAGTATGCAGTGGAAACCGTACAGGATGAGGAGCAACAACAAGCAGTCACATTGGCATACCACCAGGGGAAGACCAACCACCGAGGCGTCAACGAGACGTTGCAGGCATTACGGCGAAAGTATTTCTGGTGGGGAATGAAAAAATCTATCCAAGGAATCATCGGGAAATGCGAGGTATGTATGCGCACAAAGTATGATCGACACCCCCCCAGAGGAGTTCAGGAAGAGACACCTACAGGGAATATGCCGCTACAAGACCTCCAG